AGCAAAACCAAGTGAAAAATGGACCATTTTTTGCTCGTTTTTGCCCCCCCCCCAGCCCCCAGGAGCACTTTGCAAGCCTCTCAAACTCTCTGCATGCCCCATTTTTCACAAAAAAAAAGGCATGCAGAGGGTTTGGGAGGTCTGCAAAGTGCAAAAACTTTTTAAAATTTACCTCTTCAAAATCTTGGTGTGTCGTATACTCCAAAAAATAGAGTATTTGGATTTCTGGGGGAATTCTTTATTTCACAGAAGGGGACAGAAAATGAAGGCAGTCTTTTCCATGATCCTAAGAGCGAATGCTCCCTAAATCTGGGGATTCAGAGGGACCCTACTTTATCAGAACTTATTACATAGCAGGTATTATCAGGAGAGTGGTCCCAGAGATCCCTGGGCCCTAAAGTGCTTTAGAAAGTGGCAGCCTGCAACTTGAATTGTGTCTGGAAGCCAACTGGCAACCAGTGGAGCTCTCCAATTAGTGACAGGAATGGTTCCATTTGATAAAAGTAGGCAAGCCTCTTTTGGCCTAGCATGCCATGGTTCATTTTTGTGTTCTCAGAGACCACTGATTGGCAGGATTGATATTTTTTCCTCTGGTATTTTTGCATTTTGATAAGAATTTGAGAAACTTGTCATTCATTTTGCCCTTAAAGTCCTCTAAAATGGAAAAAAAAGCAACCTGATTTTAAAAAAAGTAGAGCTCCTCAAGCTTCTGCAAGGTACCGTCCTGGTAGTTCATTTTCCACTAGCCCCAAATATAATTTAAAAACTTTGATTCTGCCTCCTGGAATTTCTGATCAGAGGCGTATGTGCCTTATGATATCCTGAGGCTGCTTTACAGATGCAAAATTGCTATCCACCCTGCCATCTTTCTGGGATGGGACTGGGGTTAAAGTCAAGGTTAGGCAGGAGGGCTGAGAGTTTCTTAGCATCACCAAGTTGTCTACTTGTTTTGCAGCCAGTTGGGAACTGCTTATGTCAGTGCTACTACTGGAGCTGTGGTGGCGGCACTAGGACTCAAATCTCTCACCAAGGTAAGAGACCCAATGACTCCATCACGTCACAGAGGAATACTGTACACTGCTTGATCAAGCCATGCTGAAGATAGAATTCCTCATCTCAGAAATAAGAAGTAGCAATCTGACTTTGCTTACAGAAATTGTTTTATCTCCTCCTTTCTTGGTTGTGACATGATCTGCCTCTTTCTTTCAGGAGCAGGAGAATTCATGTTTTTCATGGACATTTGGACATTGGTGTAACCTAGCTAAGGGTTTCATTTATTTCACATTACTAAGCCAGGCTAACAATTTCACTCTTACTATCCTAGCATAGTAGATTTAATGTGTTAATATTTGTATACATACAAATATTAAGAAATTCCTAATAATAATAATTCTTATGCTGCATGCCCCTCTTATCCAAAAGGAAAATAGTTCTGAATGTAACACACCAAATTTCTAAGACAATTAGATAGAAATACTCATCTGCTTTCCTTCACCAGATTCTTAAAGAATTACTTTCCCAGTTCAAAGGTTTTAGGAAACAAATCTTCCTTTCAGTTCAATTTTGCATCCCAGTCAACTGTAGGGTATTTCTCCATTTGCAGCTGACCACAAACATGTCCCAGCAATGCCTTTTTTCCCTGCCATGTCTTCATAATATTTATTTCATCTTACCCCAACGCATACCCGACCCAGTTTAAAGTTTCCTGAAACTTTTCCTGTGGAAGGATAGTATATTCCCCTTCAAGAAGTTTGTCAGTGTTGCAATCAGATGTTCTATGAAGTGTTGTAAAGGGAGTTTGTCAGGGTTGTATTAGCTTGTATTTTACAAAGCTGTTTAGATATATTGAAAAAGCAGTGATAGTAAGACCAACCTTCAGCAACTCATACATCCTAATATTTCCCTCTTAGTAAATTCTCTCAGTTTCACCAATCATTCCTCAATGGTGGGTAATGCCAAATCTTTCCACTTTTTGCATACAGTAACCTCATTGCTGTAATCATATATTAAAATAATCTCCCATGTCTTTTTTCAATCAATCCTAAAAGGAAAAGTTCTGGTTTCAATACAATATTAATGTTTAAAATCCTCTGTACCAATGTATGCATTTCATTCCAGTTCTTAGCTTTTTACATTCCATCAAGCATGATAAGATATCTCTTCATGTTGTTCACAGTCCCAACATACATATGAAATCCCTTCATACAATCTAGATAATTTGTCTGGCATCATGTGCCAACAATATATCATTTTATAAAAAATGTATTTTTAAGATCACAACATAATGTAAATTTCAACCCTTTTAACCACCTATTTTCCATTGATCTGTTTATTAAAACCAAAATTCTTAACACACTTTATCATACATTCTGCAACCCATTCTACCTGTTTCAAATTTCAACAAAAATGTATACTTGGAATGCTTTATATTCAACTCATAGGTTTTCCCCCTTGCCATACTAATTTAAATAAATTATTTTGCCATTGCTTGAATGGCATATTAGTTGTCAAAATAGCTGTTATCTGAAATTAAAATATTATTCTAGGCAACACACCTATTTTTAGCAAAGAAATTGTCCCTAACAGTGGAGACTCAAATTCTTACACTAGTCCAAAAAGGAAAACAAAACTGAACAAAAAAAGACCACAGAGCTAACATGTATGTTTTAAGCCTAAGTTCTCTCACCAGTTAGAGGCCCATCTGAAAGATTTGCCTAGTGAACCAGGGAGTTGCTTTGCATAACCCAATGCATGAACAAAATAGTATACACTGGATCTAATATAGTAGAAAAACAAAATTCTGAAATTTCATTATATCTGTATGGTGAATTCTCAAAGGAATTGATGACAGCTCCTGACTGCATCAGTGACCCTGTTGTAAAATGTAATGCTGTTCGTCGTGTTATTAATTTAATTGGTATCACAAGTCTCTTTCTTCTCTCATTTCAACCCTCCCTTTTTGATAGCATTTGCCCTCAATCGTTGGACGCTATGTGCCTTTTGCAGCTGTGGCAGCTGCAAACTGCATTAATATTCCATTAACAAGACAAAGGTAAGATGGCATGGTTTGCTGGATGGAAATGTAATGAGAGAACTGCTACAGGAAGTTCAACACCAGGCAATTCCTTATAGGTTGCATATGCTGAACACCTCTAACATTGGCTATCTTGTCTTATAATACTAAAAAGCATGGAGTATGTATAGCTGTAATAATATATTCAAACTCCTGTAATAGATCTTCAAGATAATGTTTATGATCATGGTAACAATTTGTCTGATTGTTATGTAAGGTTTGTGTGCTAATATTGATTGTAAGCTGAGCTGGTTTTCTGAAATAGGAATAGGATGCTGAAATAGGAATAGTCTTCATTGAGATCCCACTGGAAATTAGCACTGGGCCGGGACAGCTAAAATCTATACTAGTTAGTTCTCCTCACTGTTTCCTGCAAAAATAAATTCTTCTGGGCATCCAAAAAAATCAACCAAGTACTACCTCTATTTCATAGGCAAGAGGTTTACAATGTACAGCCTGTGGGCCATTGATAGACAGTGAAAGTACTGCAGGTGGATCCTGTGAGGAATGCCTAAGAGATTTAGATAGATAGAGGGTAGATTTAATTTTGGGAATATGCAAATGCCCATGCTGCAGTGATTGGCTTCTATTGTAATTCTCAAAAGCTTTTGTTGATAATATGGAGGCCTATATAGAGGAGAATATTGAATACTTTTGCCATAACCATCAGTATTGTACAACAGACAAAAAAGCAACATAATGAAATGCAGAGAAAAGGCAGAATAAAGAACAGAGAGTTTATGCTTCCCTCTTAACCATTTCTATAGGGAGCTAAAATTTGGTATCCCCATTATGGATGAAAATGGAAATCGGCTGGGTGAATCAAAGAAGGCAGCCCAGCAAGCTATTGTGCAAGTGGTGATTTCACGCATTGGCATGGCTGCACCAGCAATGGGTATGTTGTTACTACCTTGACAAATATTTGAGTGACTATTCCTGCTTTGTTCATCTTTTTTTTAAAATGACAAATTTTGAATCAAAGTTAAAATAATCACTGAAGATAGAGTTTGAAAGACACAATAATATAATATCATATAATAGATGTCTTTTTTAGGTTACTGAAACTTCTGAATTCAGTGGAACATGCTTCTGTTGCAGAAGAATATCAAGAATTATGCTACTGTGAAAGCATGTTAGTCCTTCCCAGTTGGGGCATTTGGGAGAGCTAGAGATATGAGAAGAAGTATTTATTGTAGCATAAATCTCAGTGTATATATATAACTGGTGTTTGGAATTACCTTCTCTAATGTATCACCTTCAGTTATCAGCTATATTGCTGAGACTAATGCAATTTTAGCCCAAAGGATCCTAAGAGGAATGCACTTTGAAGGTGGGAAAAAGATTCCTAGTGAAAAAAATATCCCAGCTAATCCAGTATGGGCAGGTTTTCTTGGGGAGACATCTAGATGGTTTTTATGGTATCTGACTCTTCTTCCACTTCTTCCCCACAGCCATCCCTCCTGTAATCATGAATGCCCTAGAGAAAAGAGCATTTATGAAGGTACAATATTTTTGGGGAGTGTGTTTCTTCATCAAGTTCATGTTCCTTTGTAAATTTATGCCTCAAAAGATGTGGTTGCCTTTTTTGTCACGTTCCCTTCTAACACAAAAATATGAGGGAAGTTGTCAAAGTTTAACCCTAATTTTTGCCTAACCCCAACCCTAATACAAATGGCAGCTGCAAGACAAGGAAAAGAAATTTACTTTTCTTTTCAGATTCATCAGTTAGGATCAGGGTTGATGGGATGGATGAAAAACATGAAAATTATATACATTTTAATTAAGTCAGCTTTCTGCAATTTGGTCCTCTCCACATGTGTCAATTTTATAATTGGAACTGGTGACTATGCTGGCTAGGAGTTAAAGTCGCAGGAACCTGAAGGGCAATGGATTCTTCTTTTCCTGAAAATGGCAAATATGAGATTAATATAAAAAGAAATTATGTCATGTTTAGCTCTTAGCATTAAAAACTATCGTGTTTAATACTTTAGCGAAATTGCTAAAGTTCTACTACCATTTTAGTCCTATGATATTAATTTTGGGAACCATATACAGTAGCACTTTTCCCCTCATATTTTTGATTTCTATATTCTAGTGTTTATTAAACTTTTCCCCCTCTCAGAACCCCTTCCTACTTTTGAAAATTGTGGAAGACCCCAAAAGAGATTTTGCTTGCATATGTTATATTGCTTACCATATTAAATATTAAAATTGCCAAATGCAAAACTGCCACTACTTCTCATGATTGTTGATGGGATTTTAATATTGTATTAGTTTTTAACATTGATATAAAAATAATTTTGACCTGAGAGGTCTTTGGAGACTCCAGGGGTCCTCAGGTCCTCAAGTGTTGCCTGAGGACCAACACTTTGAGTACCACTGCTACCTTAACATAGGGTGTTGGCAGCTTCCCTTCAATGTCCTTCCAAGGCCTGTGTTACCATTCATTTCCCCATTCCAAACATTTATCACTGAGGACAGTGGCTTCCATGGGGATGTTCGTATATATCAAAATCAGCAAAATGGCAGACAGGAAATTGTAATCCAAGTCTCTTATGTGGCTTTCGAGATACATCATCATTGTACAATGTTCAAAAGAAGTGGGACTTGCATTGCGATGGTCTGCAGTGTTGCTGATTTTGCCCATACCCCACCCCATCCTCTTTTTCTACCTAAAGAAATTATCCAGGTTTTCAGTATGTTAAATCAGTTTCTGGGTTTCAACCAACATAGTAATATTCATAGCAGCAGATTAACCCTATTCAAAAACCAAGTCCTGACAGCTTTGCTGAAGTGTATAATGACTTACTTCCAGGTAAGAAGGGCATGTTTGTTACACTGAAGCTATTCCAGAAGGCTGGCTGTGGCAAAGGCAGAAGGTGTACTTGCTGTACTTCAACACACCTGGTGAATTGTGACACTGTGTTGTTAAGGCAACATGACATTTTGCCTCTGCTTATATATTCTGTGCATCAGGCTCAAAAAGGGTCTGTCATCATCTCAAGTAATGTATGATTGCTCCATAAAGCATTTCACCTCTATAAACAATAAATAAATAAGAATTTTTGCTTTGGAGAACAATATGAATGTTGTGTATAAACAATTCCTTTTCTATTTCCATCAGCGATACCCCTGGATGAATGCTCCTCTGCAGATTGGACTTGTGGGCCTGACGTAAGTGATATCTTTCTCCTATGCAGATAAAATGATCTAGGAACAAATATCTAGGACTCCTGTATTTTCTATACTGGGAAATTTGATTTCTTGACTAATGAGGACTTGAACCAATATTTAGCAAGGGAGTTCCCATATGTTGGTAAACTAATTTGAGGAGACTAAAATGGCAACCAAAAGTACTTCTTCCATTCTTGTCTTTCTTTCTGTAGTTTGGTGTTTGCCACACCTCTTTGCTGTGCATTCTTCCCACAGAAGAGGTAAGAAATACTCTTCCATATTGTTGCATGTTACTGTTGCTCTTGCTTTCAGTTAGGTACAGTTTCCTCAAATATTGGTTCTTCAATATTTCTTAGGAAAATGTGCTCTAGACTATTTCCCCAAAGTTGGCATGTATTACTGAAACCTGGCTGGGCCCAGAGGGAGGAGTCCCCCTTGTAGAGCTGTGCCCAGAAGGATTTCAGGTGCTGCACCAGCCGAGAGCCCAGGGAAGGGGTGGGGGTGTGGCCGTTGTTATCCGGGAGTCGTTAGTTCCTCGTAGGGTCCCTGCTCCGGAGCTTGTCGGGTGTGAGTCCCTGCTGATAAAGTTGGACCTCAAGGGTCAAGTGGGTCTGCTGTTAACGTACCTGCCTCCCAACAGCGTTGCAGCAGCCCTCCCCTCGCTCCTCGAGTCGGTAGCCGAGCTGGCAATTGAGTTCCCTAGGTTGATGGTCCTGGGGGACTTTAATT